GCAAAGCTTGTCTCCGTTTTTCCCACTTCAAGCCAACGGTCAAAGTAGCCGGAAAGTCTTGCAGCATACTGCAGACCAGTCTCGTTTTCTTCGGGCTTCGCTTTACGAAATTTTTCGCGGTAGCCTTCCGCAGTATAGCGGAACCTCTGAAGAAGCGCCGCTTTCAGCTGATCATAATTCAGCACAGCTGTTGGATCTAACCGGCCTATGACTGTTAGCGCTTCTCCTGTCATGCATACGCTAAGCGAAAGAGCCCACTTTTCACGCGGCCACCCTTGACACGTGGCGACCCGTTCAAATCGCTGCAGGTACGCGTCGAGGTCGTCCCGAGCCTCATTGAAGGGCGGAATCAGTTTATGAGGACTGCAGACCTCTGTTATTCCTCTGGCGCTCATGCTGGATCCTTCTTGTTCGTCAGCCACCATTGGCTGTACCCTGCTTGCGCTCTCCTGAAGTCGAAGCTTCAGTTCGAGGATCTTCAGCTCTTGTTCCTGCACCTTCTGCTGCTGCTCTAACAGCTTCTGCTGCCTCTCAGCGTTTTCTTTCGCGATCTCGCGCTCCCTAGCACGCTCATCTCGAGCTTCAACGCACTCTCGCTCAACCCACTCTCTGAGCTCCTCGTTCTCCAACCCTAGCTGTCGGCCAAGTGCAATAAATTTCTCCCTGTCCATGACAAAGGCTGCGTCTGAGTAATGGCTTTATATTTTAATAAGCCATCCTGGCAGGCTCGCCAATTGTGGTGGTTCTTGGGCCCTCAGACGCAGAAACCCAAGACAAGGACAAGAGAAACATCTATTGACTTCACACACAAAACAATCACAACACTGTGGCTATCTGTACAACACACTGGCTCCGTAATTCAGTCATACAGTCCTTATGTCTACGCGCCCGCGAGTAACCCACGCGTCCTCACTACTCGGAAGTCTAATTCCGTCGGGTGCCACTCACGCTCCCGCTGAAGACGATGGCGTCGACGACGCAACCTCGCCACGGGGAGGTTGCCAAGTGCACGGGAAGCTCACGAGCAGACCATCAGCTGCTCGTGCTGGACCAGGCGGCCTCACGCTGCGGCCGACGCAACACCGAGGTCGCACCTTCAATTGGCGGTTGTGCCGGACCGGCTCCGACGTGGCACCGTGGCCACGATCTCGGTGACTGGTTGTGCCGGACCCGAGTCTGGACAGGATCAGCCGCTTGCCCTGGCCCGCACGCTCGTCCGCCACAGGAACAGCATGTCAGGCCCGGCCCGGAACCGCCACTCGCCTCAGGAACATGCCACGCTCGTCCCGGTTGGGTTGGTGACACCCGCTCGTTGGTTCGGTCCCCTGAGGCCCAACGCCTAGCGCTCTTGCTAGCTGGCCACGTTCTTCCTCTGCCCGTCGCTGTTCCGAAACTCACGCGCTCACGTTCGTCTGACCCCGTGCACACTTTCGTCTTCGTCGGTTATTTTCCGCTGTCGGTTTCACTTCCAGTTTCGATTTTGGTTGTGAGAAGCACTCTTACCACAATCATGTTTAAACTTGTCATTTACATTCATTGTCCATTCACGTCACGTAATACCAAATTTGGCATATGTTCAACTAGTGAAACAACCGCGAGCACGCTATGAGCGTAGCATGTAGTCACGATTTATATGACACGAATATCATGATTAGCATGTTTGGACGTCTCATTTACCTTCGTCGTCTATTCAGGTCACTTGATACCAACTTTGGTATATGTGTAGTTTGCGAAACGGCCCCGAGTGCATCATGAGCGTGGTATGTGGTCGTGTTCTTACATGAGGCGCATGTTATAATCATCATGTTTGCACCAGTCATATACCTACGTCATCCATTGACGTCACGTAACACCAAATGTATTATATGTGGAGCTAGCGAAACGGTCGCAAGCGCATCATAAAGGGTCCAATGCACTCCGACGTAACGTAGACGCGCGCGCACGTTGGGCGCAGCGACGGTATACGCTAGCAAAACGGAACACCAGGTGGGACCGGAGCAACCAGCGTCCGTCGGTGCGGCCCGGTGGCAACCGGTACGAAATGCGACATGCTGCATTTCGCGCCGATGACGCTACACAGACAGCACTGTGTCTGTCCATTTCGTGACGGAGGGACACCGAGCACGCTCGAACTCGCATGCGCCAAAGCAACGCGCAGTGCGGCGTGCGCCTGGGAGTATATGGCAGACAGCTCGGCGCCTGACGTGGCATCGCAGGCGTGACACCACAAAACGAACGCCGACGCGCACGCGCGCCGGTTCACGTGGAAGTGTATTGGCGCCTTGAGTGTGGCATGTACTCATGTTATTACATGACACGCACCTCATACTATCATGTTTGCACCGGTCACATTCTTTCTTCATCCATTCACGTCCCGTAATAGGATACTTGGTATATGCGAAGCTAGAGAAACGGCCGCGAGCGCATCATGAGCATGGCATGTGGTCATGTTGTTACATGACCCGCACCTGATGATTATCCTGTTTGCACCAGTCACATGCCTTCGCCATCGATTCACGTCCGGTAATACCGAATTTGGTTTATGCGAAGCTAGCGAAACAGCCGCGAGCGCATCATGAGTGTGGCATGTAGTAATGTTGTTACAAGACACGCATGTCATGATTTCCATGTTAGGGTTGCTTTTTTCGCCATGTAGTCATGTAATATCATACCAGTTTTGTAATATGTCATGTGAACAAAATCACTGCAAGAGCAGCAAGACCACGACATGTAAAGCATGACATTCATGACATACATGACAAGATTTTCATGTCATGACCAGTCAAATGTGTTCTTCATAAGGTCATATTATTTCATACCAAGTTTGGTATTGATGCCGTTAGCGAAACGGCCAGGAGAGCTAAAGGTTGTAGGTGGCTTGGTAGATAGATAGATAGATAGATGGATAGATAGATAGATAGATAGATAGATAGATAGATAGATAGATATATAGATAGATAGATAGATAGATAGATAGATAGATAGATAGATAGATAGATAGATAGATAGATAGATAGATAGATAGATAGATAGATAGATAGATAGATAGATAGATAGATAGATAGATACGCTCAAAGTCAGCGATATTCGTTAAGAAATGCTTTGCATTCAATAACAATTGTGTATTTAATAGACACTAATGAACGACTGCGGGTCACCGCATGACATACGGATATTGGCGACAGCACACGCAAAGATTTTGAAAGAATTCTCATCTTAACTCAGAGAATTACCAAAAAAACTTCACGAGCAGCCACAGATTGGTGGCTATTACTGCCAATTTTTTAAAGCTGTCTCTCACTCGTGCTACTGATCAACACGTGCAGAGGTTTTATGATGGCTTGTTTGATAGATATGCAGGCACACAATTGAATACTGAGTAGTGTTCTCGCGCAAGCGACGATATGGCAGTATACAATGGGCGAGCCACCTGTGTGCATATTTGCAGTTAGATTGATACCTACAACTGAAATCACCGAAGAAAATACTAATGCAATCTGCTGAAAAAATATGCTTGTCTTAGTTCACTAAGGAATCCCAAATTACCAACTGGAAGTTGGTGTTCTTAAATACGTGTCACAGCAGTACCGCCTAGTGCTCCTTTCGTTGACAGCCCACGTTGCTGAAAGCGCGACGGATGGATAGTCAATGCTCCGATAGTCAATAAATGTCAGAGGGTGTCAGCACGAAAGAACATACTCGTGTCACACCGAGGACGCTTGTTCGCTACATAGTGAACCCTTTCAACTATATGGAGAGCAGTGTCACTGAAACCAGGGAAGAATTTCTACTGTGTATTATACTGTTTTAAGTATACTCCAACAGCACTTATGTATTTTACAATAAAAATAATAAAAAAACGCTAATACAACTACAAGGGCTTAAATATGCTAATCAAGTAGAGTTAAAGGATTGTGATTGTTTTTATCAGTTATATAGCCGAATAATTTATCAAATTCTCTAATTTACTGTTCGAAGAAAAATGAATGAAGCAGTTGGTGTCAAAACAGTGATGCCGCAAATATGATGGATGTTTGTGGGGCGACCGTTTGGTTTCGGAACTAAATATGAACCTAAAGTTGCCAATATTTAGATGTTTGAAGTTAACATGAACGATTTAAGTAAGGTGTGAATACTTAACGTTAGTGACCCAGCTCTTGCGAATAACTGAGCGGGGTAATTGAGTAAATCAATGACCAGCCAAGACAGACACCTTGAATGAACACAAGTTGAAGCACTTTTCAACCAAAATGTTTTTAATGTGCGTATGGGCAGTTTGATCCCAGCTGAAAGCGATGTCGCAGATCTCAAAAGTCAACGCAAAAAACTCTGTTTGCCAAACAAAGAGAGAGAAAGAGAGAGAGAGATAAAGATGCAAGGAAAGGCAGGGAGGTTAACCCGACAAACAAAATTTAGAACTATGACCATAGGGCTTCTCGAGACTCTGAGTGAACGTGGTGAAGTTGTCATATGTATGCCGCGTTGTCTGTAGCAGATCTACAGAAGGGTGGTCTCTTCAATAAGCTTCGGTAATGACACATCATGAGTTAGTTACGGCGGCCACGGTGGAAGGTAGTACGTGAGACGCTTGTGCACGGACTCCCAGGCTGCTGTTATTTCAAATACCGTAAATCTTGCCGCCACACTTTAGGCTTCACTATGCATCAGCCGCCATCGCAAAAACAAAGCAATCCTATAGTTAGTATAGGTAAATGAGTGACAGGAAACTTCCGATGGAGGTAGTCAAGGTGAAGTAGTTTTACACTCCTGCATTATTCGTGGCTCACGGCGGTTGAGAACAACAGTATTCAACAGTCACTACTGCCACAACCACAGAAAAACTTAGCACATCGTAGACAATAATGTCAGTTGTTGCTAACCAAAAATCTTTGTTGAATCTTAAAACATCTTCAGCTTCCTTTTAAGATAAACCTGCATTGCCTCTTTTTTTTAAAAGTACACTATATTTTCAAGTGCATAATAGTGGCACCTAATTGCAGGTCAGTGATGTTGTCAGCCTCACGCGGAAGGAAACGCTGGCTCACATGGAGCGATATGCTATTGGTTTCCGGAACAACGGCGTAGCTCCAGGTCACCGCATCTGCATCCACCTGGACAATGGAGTGGAAAACCTGGTAGCTATTTATGGCTGCATATTGGCCGGGGCAATCGTCGTCTTAGCAAAACCGTCGCTCACCGAAAGTGAGTACACATGCTACTATTTATTTGATTTTCTATTTAGTTAAGTATCTCTGCGAATAGCAGTGCTTTTCGGAGCACTGCTATTCTTTAGTGTTTAGTCTTTAGAGCTTTAGTGTTTTGTGTTATAAAAACTTTGTGTCATAAAAACGCCATTTTGACACATGATACATTTATACGTAACCACGTCTTTACGAGCTTTACATGTATGGCACGTTGCGGTTCATTTTTGTAAGAAATCGCGCTATGAAGCAAAAAGACGTCGGTAACTATCCTTCCTGCCACCACTACGGCTCATTAAGGCCTCAATTGTTTCTCCGTTTAATCTTACCTTGCAGAGAAACCTTGCATTTATGTTGTCCAGGTAAGTGAGAATAGTTATACTGAATGTATGAGATGGAGCAGCCATCTGAAATATTGTGCGTAGGTGTATTACAGCAAAATATTTCTCTGGTATTGATACTCATTGTTCAGCACAATAATGAGGTAAGCACTGAATTGTTAATCACCGATATTTTTATTTTGTGAAGAATTTTATAGGATTCGGATGAATACAAATGAAGGGCGATGGAACAACCACGGTCGTTTCTGAAACGTTTTAGGCCCACTAAATTTTTTTACACATGAACAAATATAAGTATCACACTCAGCGCAGGTCAGTGAAAACTACAAAGCAAAATGTATGCCCTAAAGAGTACTTGAAGAAGCAGCGAAATTAGTATGAAAATCGGGTAAGAAGGTGTATCGCCTGGCAAAAGGCCATGTGACTCAGGTGCTCTCACAGTGTGCTCACCCAGTAAAGTCTAGCCTTTGCATTATCAGTTAAATGTGGAAATAAATAAATGAAAGAAACGTTTCGAGCGTTCGGTACCAAGTTTATTGCTCTTAAAGTGTAGAGGTAAATATCTCATTATGTGCAACAAATCTACCGAAAATTGCACCTTCACTTGAGCATTTTTGTTCGAAGTGAGGGCCAGCATGAGCTCTGTGTCATCAAGTGCAACTTATGACCGCACCAGGAAGCTCATCGTTCAAATATTTAGTAAAGCCTCGTTGAGGGAAAGATATCATTATTGAACAGCTACTGGAACATGTTGGCATACTTGATTGTGTCAAATACGCACGTATGTTATATTTAAGGCCGAACTATGTACAGCATTTTGCCGGCGTTCTCGCAGCATGTCGTACGCCGGCGCCACTCAGCGTCGACGCTCCTGGTGAAAGTGGCTGAAACGTACACCTTTGTACGATTCAGATATCGTCAGCGTTGACGCCGGAAGCAAGTCGATGGATGGAGAACCAATCAGCGCATGGCTACCAGCGAATTCCGCCACGTAAAAGTATTGTCACTGCTGCCAAAATGGCTGCCGCCCGCCTCGGATCTATCACGTCGTCGCCGTGCTCCGTATGACCCAAAAGCTCTCAAGTGATGCGTGTATTTGACTTCACTTGTTCCTCAGAAGCTTCGACAAAAAGCGCTCAGGGTTCCTCTAAACTGTTTTCGAGCCCCGAACTCAAGTCCATCACTAGGTTAGCAAGCCTGATTTTAATGGCTGAATACGCAGCATCAAAGATGCACAACAACATTCATCATCAGAGGCCGTATATTGCAAAAGTTTTGTTCTTCTTATTCTCAACAACTGGCATTACAACTAAGAAAGAACCTTTGTGGGGTACTGTGAGTTGTTTCCCTTCCTTAAGAACTACTAGTGAGGCATGAAATAGATTTTCAAAAATATTTTTTGTTGCTGCACTGACAGACACTGCACACTGCTTTGCGAGGTCTCGGGTTCATTCTCTTAGACAAAATGAGTCGACGAGAATGGCGGTGCTTGCTTCAGCACATTTCATGTGGCTGGAGATGAAACGGCAGCACTACCAAGCCGGCACTCAGCTGACTGCCCGTACTGCCCGTGGTAATCACAGTGATGTTAGATAAATATGCGGGGTTTAACGTCTCAAAACCACCATTATGATTATATGTGACGCCGTAGTAGAGAGCTCCAGAAATTTTTACCACCTGGGGTTCTTTAACAAGCACTTAAATCTGAGCACACGTGCCTGCAGTATTTTCGCTTCCATCGAAAATGCAGCCACTGCAGCTGGCATTCGATCCCGCGACATATGGGTCAGCAGCCGAGTACCTTAGTTACTAGGCCATCATGGCGGGGATGACAGCGATGTTGCTTCCAATGACGGCGCTATGAACTTTCGGTAGCAGTACATTTCTATTTCAGTGCCCCGAATATTTTCCTAACTAAAGAACGCTACAAATACTAAGCCATAATTGCGCGTTACAGTTTTCATTACTGGTTCATTAACGAAAATTTTATGCCGCTTAAGGAAATTTCACAGTGAATCCATCTGGTCACACTGTGCGACGCTGAACTGATGCTGGCCTTGGCGCTTCTCTAATGGTTTGCTGCCCTCTCTGGAAGTGTTGACGTGATGACGCCGTGGGAGGTGACGCCAGGATAACGCCGGCCAAAACGCTGTGTATGTTTAGGGCTTTACAGCCTGTATCAATTCATTATGAACAAGCGCAAAATATTTATTTATTTATTTATTTATTTATAAATACTACAATCCCTAGTCGGGACTTTGGTAGGGTGGGAAGATGAACAATGCATGATCTGGTACTACGAAATGTGTGGAACAAGTGGTAGGCGTAACCAGGTCACATAATTTGTATGACATAAAACAGAAAGTGACCTATCAAAAAAAATGAAACGCGGTTACACATCTGAACAATACACGTACGCATGCATACCAATACATATATAGCAATCCTCAATACAATTACGTGCACACAAGAACAAAATACCGAGTGTAGGTAAATAATATAGCAATAACGAAATGAAACACAAATACATGCATAGACCTTCAAGAATAAATGTGCACTCTTACTAAGTACGCATGTGTGCATATATACGAAATATAAATGAGATCCAGGTTCATGAACACAGACTAGAAGTAAAACTTGCCAATGAAGACTGTAACACTTGCTCATTTGTTAATAAATTCCAATCATTCACCGTTCTGGGGAAAAAAGAATATTTAAATGCATTATTTCGCGTTTGATGTGGTGTTAGTGTTCTATCATGCCGTAGTCTTGTGCTGTATCTAGAGGTGAGTGGCATAACAGAATATGTATCGACCTTAACATGCCCCATTAATATTTGGTAAAGAAACTTCAAACGTGAATGACGGTTTCTAGTGGATAGAGGTTGAAGCTTAGCTCTGGTTAACAGATCTGTTACTGATGTACGGTCATAGCGATTATATATAAATCGTACTGCTCTTTTCTGAATGGATTCCAGTTTATCAATATTTGTTTTGGTATATGGGTCCCAGATAATTGCAGCGTAGTCTAACCCGGGCAGAATAACGGATTTATACGCAAGGAGACGTACAGTGGGGGTGGATAGTTTCAGTGCTCTGCGGAGAAAAAATAGTTTACGTTGTGTGTGAGCTATGACTTGGTCGATGTGTTTATTCCACCGAAGGTCACTTGTTATTAAAAGGCCTAAGTATTTGTACTCGGTTACCTCACTGAGGTAATTGTTTTTGTAGCCGTAATAGTAAGTTAAGGGCGTTTTTTTTGCGAGTAATTTTCATTGCTACTGTTTTTTCAAGATTAAGACACATCTGCCAACTTTCACACCATGACATAACCTTCTCAAAAGCTTGATTTAGGAGTAGCTGATCATTCGAGTTTTAACTTCGCAGTACAGGATGCAGTCATCGGCGTAAAGTTTAATTTTTACAGGGATGCCGTCAACTATATCATTTATGAAAATGAGGAAAAAAAGTGGTCCGAGTACCGAACCCTGCGGGACACCAGATGATACAGAAACTCTACCCGAGCAATGTTGATTAAAAGAAACCATTTGTAGACGACCAGTTATGTATGATGAAATCCAGGATATTAGCTTAGGGTTTTGAAGTACCAAATTTAATTTATAAAGCAGTTTATTATGAGAAACCGTATCGAAAGCTTTGCGAAAGTCTAGAAAAATAGCGTCAGTTTGATTACCATTATTAATAGATGTCGCAAAATCGTGTATAGTTTCTACTAATTGAGTTTGTGTAGAGAAGCCTTTGCGAAAACCATGTTGTCCCTTGGTGAAGAAGTTTTGTTCTTCGAGAAATACTGAGATGTGTTTATGTATTGCATGTTCCATTAGTTTGCAAGCTGTCGAAATAAGCGATATGGGGCGGTAATTTTTAACCGTAGAATTGCTCCCGTTTTTGTGTAGCGGTGTAATCTTAGCTATTTTCCAATCTAGAGGAACCTCGCCCTCCTGCAATGATTTCGAAAACAATACATGAAGGTACTTTGCCATCCACTCCGCATACCGTTTTAAAAATTCGTTAGGGATGTCATCGGGACCACATGATTTTTTTATATCTATATTTAACAGCAAGTTCAGTATTCCCGTTTCGCTAATGACAATGTCTGGTACTGGCGGAAGAGAAAGACTGAAATCTGGCAATAAATTGTTATCTTTGGTGAAAACAGATTGAAATTGAGCATTGAATGCGTTCGCGATCTTTGAGCTGTCGTGAGTAATGGAACCATCAACTTCAAAAGCCGTGGAAGAACGAGACGAAGGGGAAATCAATCTCCAGAATTTTTCTGGGGATGTCGAGATAAAGCGTGGTAGTAATACACTATGGTAGTTTTGTTTATCCTTCGAAACTTCATTTTGAAGTTTAACGGTTAAAAGAGATATTTCTTGCTTTTGAGCATTTGTTGAAGAGCCCTTCTTCTTTAATCTTTTAAGTTTTCTTTTGAGCTGTAGTGTAGGCCGAGTTATCCAGGGGTTTCTCTTTTTTGGTTTCTTGACAATACGTGGCACAAAACGATCCATGCATTCCATAATAATACTTTTTAAGCGGTCCCAAAGATAGTTTACGCTAGCATCACTGCTTGCAAACGTGTCGAAATGAAAAGACAACGTATCTATTATAGAAACATCATCTGCCCTGGAAAAGTTTGG